GATGGAACTTCTTGTTCCTATGTTGTTTTAAGTCATGTTGTTTGTTTTTGTTGATGTGTTTATGTGTTTAAAATAAAAAAAAATTAAAAAAAAGGAGAAGAATGGTGGAATGTGTTGTTGTCATTCCTTTCTAGAAGCCCAAGGTCATCTTTTGTCTCCGGACCTCTGCACATGACCGGAACCAGCTGAGTGGAGATGCCAGCGTGGAAGAAGAAGATTGGACCATGTGAAGGATTTATGGGTGTGGCAATAAGATCATGAACTTTCAACTGGGTGGAATCCCAGGAAGTTTTTCAGATTTGGGATTCCACAGATGTACCAAGATGTCGGACTTATTAAATTGGAACTTTAAGGATCGTTTTGCCTTGGGCTCTGATTTAATTCTACATGATACTTGGAATGCTGACATCAGGAGGAAGAGAGATGCACATTTACCATTGTACATAAATGGCGAGGAAGTGGAGAAGGTTGGTAGTTTTAAACTTCTGGGCATTTATATCTTGGAGGACCTCTCATGGACCATGAATACTAACAAGTTTGGGAAGAAGGCACAGAAGAGGCTGTACTTCCTGAGAATGCTAAGGAAGATAAATCTACCTCAGCATCTACTTCTGTCCTACTATCGCAGCACTATTGAGAATGTCCTGACATACGGCATTCTTGCATACTATGGGAGCAGCTCTGCAGCGGACAAAAATGCTCTACAGAGAATCATTAAAACTCAGAATATCACCGGGCTCCAGCTAACGGCCCTGGACAACATCTTCGCACCTCGTTGTTTTGAGGAAGTTGCACAACCTTCTCAGAGAGTCCGCCCATCCTGCTTACAATCTTTTTAGACTTTTTGCCTTCTGGCAGAAGATACAGAACAATTAAAACTCGGACCGCGTGTCTTCTGAATAGTTTTTATCCCAGAGCTATAATTGCACTCAACAATGAAACAAAGGTCCACCCCGCAGTGAGCACTTGGGACGGTATTATTTGGTCTGTTGTGTAGATCAGTGTTTTTCAACCTTTTTTGTGCAAAGGCACACTTTTTTCATGAAAAAAATCACGAGGCACACCATTAGAAAATGTTAAAAAAATTTAACTCTGTGCCTATATTGACTATATATAAAGTGTTTTTCCCACGGCACACCTAACACTATGTCACGGCACACTAGTGTGCCGCGGCACAGTGGTTGAAAAACACTGGTGTAGATGCTTGGGTGGTTCAGGGGCGGGGAACTTTTGGTGNGTAATGAAACGTCTGCAAGAAAACCTCCAAGCTCAAAGAGCACCAAGGATTCCAGTCGTTGTCCTCCTCCTTCCTCCTCCTCCCTTCTTCCTCCTCCTCCCTTCTTCTTTTTCCTTTCTTCTTCTCCTGCTTCTGCTTCTGCGTTTGATTTACTGCTAAGCATTTATTTATCTGTGTCTTAAGGATCTTTTTATGGTGATTCCCCCAAAAATTCTTTTAAAAGCCATGCTTTTTTTTCAGGCCTTTTCAGGCCGCAACGGACCCCAGAATTTATGTTGCTAAGGGAGAAATACGTGAAGCGACGTTTGCCCTGTTTTACGACGTTTCTTGCCATGTTTGTCAAGTGAATCACCCTGCTTCTTACGTTAGTCACACTGTTGTTAAGCGAATCTGGAATTGACTTTGCTTGTCAAGACGGTCGCAAAAGGGGATCACGTGACCCCAGGACACTGCCACCGTCATAAGTGTGAGCCAGTTGCCAAGCATCCGAATGTAAGTCACTTGACCATGGGGAATGCTGCATGACTTAAACAATTCTATTACAGAAATCGTATTTTGCTAAAGTTGCTAACTTAATCACTGCAGTGATTCACTTAACGACTCTCAACCGCAGAAATGTTAGGCCCAATTGTGGCCGTAATTTGAGGACTAGCCGTATTCTGTTATTCTCCTCTTAAACTCCGCGGTGGTCGAAGTCCCTCTCTTTACAGAGAGAAGCTACAGATGTTTCAAGCGGAGGAGGTAACCCCTGCGCCCCACCCTTGCTCTGCAGCCTTCCCCCATCAGCTCACCTGGGAGTGTAGCTGGGCGCGTAGCGGCTCTGCTGTCTAGACACGGAAAACGTTCGTTTGCTGGAATCGCTGCTCTGAGCTTTCCGCACCCCTTCCTCGTAGAGCAGCCCCACCTGGTGTCAGGGATCCAAATAGCACCCAAAATTAAATCAGAGTCCAAGGCAACGTATTGCTCAAAGTTCCAATTGATTAAGAGAGCCATGTTGGCACATCTGGGGAAACCCGAATCCAAAGGCTTCCCAGTTTCCCACCCAGTTGAAAGTTCAAGATCTTGCCCCCACACCCACAAATCCATCCCATGGTCCAATCTCCCACTGCCATGCTGGCAGTTCCAAGAAAAGAAAGAAAGAAAAAGAAAAAAAAAGAAAAGAAAGAAAGTTCCACCCATCCAGATCCGGTCAGGTGCAGAGACAAAGGATGGCCTTGGCTTTCTGAAAAAGAATGTTGTTATGGCTACGTATCATCTAATCCATACGATTCCCCCTCCCATTTCCCCACCATAGAAAATGCATATTGGATAGTAGTAAGTGTGGCAGGCCAGGTATCCAAAAGAAAATAGGGCTGCAGGCCTGACACCTGGGAGAAGAGACAAGGGCAGGGAAATGTGAGTTGCTAGTACGGACAGGCAGCACAGAATACAGAGCAGAATACCAGAGTTGGAAGGGACCTTGTAGGTCATCTAGCCCAAGCCCAAGCAGAACTCACTGTCTTCTGGTTTTTAGTCTGGTGCCTTCGCCAGTAAACCAAACTGATACCTTTGTCATATTAGCTTCTAATATTTGAATAATCAGTCCCAATTTTCCTCTTTTGGAAAATTCAAAACCCGAAGCTGGGAATGGATCCGCTTCTCATATTAACAAACATCTTGTTTTGGACATTTCCTCAAGCAAGACCTTTTGCTGAAGTGCCAAATCCAGCTGCTGCCTCTGGGGGTTGTGTCAATCAAGAAACTGTTCTGACCTAGCCGACTCCCCGTCCTTATAAAACCTCTTTAATTTAAAATGAATTCGTCTCCATCAAAGTCCCGGCCAAGAGTCTTTCAAGAGATTCCAGAACTACAGACCTTTATCAGGCTTGGAGAGCTACCAGGCTGATATCTTCCAAACTCCACGCTGTAGCAGCAATTCCTGGGCAAGAAGTCAGGAACAGATCTTCACCCTAAGGAATTGAACTAATNTTAGCTTCCTCCCATAATTGGGGCTTACCAGGGGTTGTAACACTAATATACATATACATATACATATATATATACATATACATATACATATAAATATATAAATATATAAATATATAAATATAAATATATATTAAAGGTTTGGGAAGCAACCATGTGCAAACTCGGAAGGAATCCTTTTGATTACAGATAGTCCTTGACTTATGACCACAGCTGAGAACATTTCTGTTCTTAAGCAAGGCGATTTTTGCCCCCTTTTATAGAACTAGCAATAGCACTTATATACCGCTTCGCCCCTCTAAGCGGTTTACAGAGCCAGCCTCTTGCCCCCAATAATCTGGGTCCTTGTTTTACCGATCTCGGAAGGACGGAAGACTGAGTCGATCCTGAGCCGGGCAGGATCGAACTGCTGGCAGTGGGCAGAGACACGCTGCAATACTGCATTCTAACCACTGCGCCACCAGGGCCTTATGTTCCTTTTGTGCCTCACTGCGGTTGTTAAGTGAGTCGAGGGTTTTCCTTTCCTAAGTGGTCAGACTGGATCAGGTCTGACATTACGATTCTAAGTACTTTAATATTGGAGGCGCATCGCTTCCTTCCCGCTAAAAAAGCTCTCCTAGCTTTAAAACAACTTCTCTTTCTGCTTCTGAAGGTGCTGAGCGAACGGGGGGGGGGGGGGGGAAGATTTGGGCTCCACGCAGCCCACTAGTCCTCACCTTGTTAAACTCCACGGGGCTGAAGATATCAATCCGCTCTGAGAAAAGCTTCTGGATGTTGCTCAGCAAATTGGTATCCATGGGGGCGCTGGCCGCAATTGTGATATGGGGAGAAGAAAGGATTGATTACTTTAAATAGCTATACACCCATTTGCACTGATGATGTTACCTAGTTGGGTCATGAAACGTCTACACAAGAAAACAGGCGAGCTCAGAGAGTATTAAGGACCCCACAGTCCTTTTCCTCCTCCTCCTCCTCTTCTCCTTCTCTTTTTCCACCTTCTCCTCCCCTTCCCCCAACCTTCCTTCTCTTCTAGCACTGAAGTTGTTCCCTAGTTGGGTAATGAAATGTCTGCAAGAAAACCACCAAGCTCAGAGAGCACCAAGGACCCCACAGTCTTTTTCCTCCTCCTCTTCCTCCTCCTCTTCTTCTTTCTCCTCCATTTCCTCCTCCTCCTCTTTTTCCACCTTCTCCTCCCCTTCCCCCAACCCTCCTTCTCTTCCAGCACTGATGGTGTTCCCTAGTTGGATAATGAAACGTCTGCAAGAAAACCTCCAAGCTCAGAGAGCACCAAGGACCCCACAGTCCTTTTCTTCCTCCTCTCCTCCCTGCAAACCCTACTTCCTTCTAGCACTGAAGATGTTCCCTAGTTGGGTAATGAAACGTCTGCAAGAAAACCTCCAAGCTCAGAGAGCACCAAGGACCCCCCCAGTCTTTTTCCTCCTCCTCTTCTTCTTCCTCCTCCTCCTCCTCTCCACAAACCCCACTCCCTTCGAGCACTGATGATGTTCCCTAGTTGGGCAATGAAACGTCTGCAAGAAAACCACCAAGCTCAGAGAGCACCAAGGACCCCCCCAGTCTTTTTCCTCCTCCTCTTCTTCTTCCTCCTCCT